AAACTCATGGGAAGTGAGTTAGAAATGAGTATGATGGGGGAACTAAATTTCTTCTTAGATTTACAAGTGAAGCAAACTCCTAAGGGGACAATGATAAGACAACGAAAGTACATCAAGAACCTGCTGAAGAGATTTGACATGGAGACATAAAAAATCATTGACACTCCCATCGCCACAGCTACTTTTCTAGACATGGATGAACCTGCTTCCCCTATAAATCACACCATGTATAGAGGTATCATAGGGTCACTTCTGTAGCAGACCAGATATTGTTTTTAGTGTGGGTCTATGTGCCGGTTTCAATCCAATCCAAAGGAATTTCATCTGAAAGCTGCCAAGAGAATCCTAAGATATATCAAAGGGATACAGGACCTGGTTCTCCACTATCCCTCGGGAGATACCATTGAATTGGTTGGATATGCTAATGCTGGTTATGTTGAGTATCTGGTGGAAAGAAATAGCACATCTGGAACGACACATTTTCTGGGGTCATGCTTGATCTCACGGGGTACAAAGAAACAAACTGTGTGGCTCTTCCTACTACTGAAGCTGAATATGTGGTTGCTGCTTCTTGTTGGGCTCAACTAGTACAAATCAAGCAACATCTTGAAGACTTTGGTCTATTTACAGCTTGAACCCGGTACAACACAAGAGGACAAAGCACATTAATGTCCGACATCACTTTTTGAGGGATAATGTTGAAAATGTTTCGATTTGTATGAAGTTCTAGAAGACGGATGACCGGGTAGTAGACATCTTCACCAAGGCGCTGAGTAGTGAACATATTGAAAGAAATCGTCTGGATTTGGGGTTGATTAAGCTCAACTAAGGACCTGGTCCCTCGATGATTGGCTATGTTAAGAAGGAAAAGTATAGTGGTAAAAAGTGTTTTTCTGTGACATCTAACTCAAATCTATACTGTTACAGGTATACACATATGATAGTTTCAGGACAAAAACAAGTAAGAGTGACATTGCACTTCTAGAAGTCTTTGCTCAGATTTTCAAAAACTGTCAAGGAACCTGGTTCCTACGACTCAGGTTAGTGGTCTCTTCAATACTTATATGCTTTTTTAAGCTGCTAAAGTGTCATGTCATTAATTTATTCCTGCCTTTCTCCTGCCTCTTTCTTAATTTTTGAAGTCCAAATGTTAAAGCTCTTCTGAACTAAACCGTTGCCCCCTCCCCCCCAAAAAAAACCACTTCTCTATCTTACACCCAACCAAAACCGATTCTTTTCTTCAAAACCAAAATTAACCTTGTCTCAAAAAGAATCCCTCTCTCCAAATATGCCAGAAGTGAACCCAACTCTATCACTTTCCAAAATCCTAACTCTATCTGAATAAAACCCCCATGAATTCTTTGGTAGATTTTGATAGAAGTTTAACTGAAAGGGAACATGGTAGATCTAATATTCTAGAGCGTGAGGTGAAATTGTTGTTGAATTTGTGGAAGTCTTGAAGGATGGAGAAATTGGTAAATGTGCAAACTGAATGAGGGACCTGATCCCTCAAGTCCTTCTCAGGAAGCCAATCTTAATAATGATCTTTTTCTTTTTGAGTTCTGTGTTTAAACAAACGTCCGATCTAGTAAAAAGGATTGATGAAAAGTAGGCTGATTGATGATGAAGTGGTGTGCCCTGCTGATGTGATTGTGGAAGAGAGAATGAAGTGTAAAAAAATTGAGAAAAGAAAGTTGGCTGAGAAAGATACAGCAGATGGTAAGGGTAACAGATTGAGAAGAAGAAGAGGGAGACATGGCTGCTGAGGGATAGAAAGGGTAGTGTAAGTGAGGAACCTGGTTCCTTACAGAAGCAAAAGGTTGAGTCATCAGGTTTGGAGGGTAGAAGACTCTGAAGTCTCAAAAAGTGTTGTTAGGCAGAGTGTTGACTCTGATATTGCTGAAAAAATGGAGGAACTTCTTGACATTGTTGAGTTCCAAAAAATAGAATCACCTCTTTATTCCTCCAAGTCCCAACGTATATGAAGAAGAAGTAAAAACTTCTATGTTTTATGTGATACTCTGATGCTATATGTGCATAGGACTGAGTTTGTTCTTGATTAGAAGAAGCTTGGGGAGATTCTTGGTGATCTAATTGATGGTTCAACCTACTCAGATAGGTTAAGAACCTGGTCCTCGTGGACCCTTGGCAGAATAGAATACTAAGTTGAAGGGTGAGAATGAAAGATTGGGGAAACAGGTGGAGGAACTGAGAGGGCAGATGATCATTGATCAAAGGAGAGTGAATGAACGAATAGACAAGCTCATCAAGGCCTTAGCCCATTTCTTTTCCTCCTGCCAAGTGACCCATGACTTTCACTCCTTCCAAATTCCCTTGAGTTCTTATCTTCTTTGATTCATATATTTGATGACATTGGTACTTTAGTTGTTTAAATTATCATATCATGTATTATTGAAACTACTGTGCTTTTATTATAATTACTCTACTATGGGCAATCACTCCATTTTGTGCAATGACATTCACTTGTTGTTCTTGTTAGTGTTTATGCTGTGTTGCCCAAGTGGCATGGGTTAATGTTGCTGAACTTCTTTTTGACTGTGCTTCTTCTGTTATTCTTTTCGATGATGCCAAAAGGGGGAAGTTATATAGGTGTCGACATGGGGAAGGAACATAATTGAATTGATATGATGTGTTGTGCATGAAAGATAGCTCTGCTTCGCAGGGAGGAACGTTGCTGATAATATGTTGATTAGAGGTCTGATCCGCAGGGAAACATGTGAGGAATCTGGTTCTCAAGTGTTATATTAATTTTGGGTTTGTCATCATCAAAAAGAGAGAAATTGATGAGTTACGGTATTTTGAGTTTTGATGATTTGCCAAACAGTCTTGAGGAACCAGTTGTGATCAATTCCTTAGGTTTGGTTCTTAGGAGGAATATGGCTGATTCGTAGGGGGAACAATGTGGAGATCTAGTTCTCAAGAGGAATATCAATTCTAAGTTTGTCATCATCAAAAAGGGGGAAATTGATAGGTTACAAGTACTTAGGGCATAAGTACTTTACTTTATGTTTTGATAATCTAACAAACTTACCATCCAGAACCAGATAAGGAATCTGTTATACATTTACAAGAACTTGAGATCACAAAGTTCCAAGTTGGGATCCAGCGTGGGATATAACTCAACTCTTCAGAGTGGAAGGAACAGCTGAGGGAACAGGTCCCTATGAGTTCCTGAGGAGACTGTATGAAGTCAACTCTCCAGCTGGAAAGTTGCTGCCTGCACACGCTACTATACAGGAACAGTGCAGTAGTCAACTTTCTGTTGAAGACTTTTTACCTACCTTGCTTACATCATTGTAAGTGATGTCACACATGTATAAATACAATCAAGGAAGGAAAAATAACTTACTTAATGAGAGAACCAGATAAAGGACCTGAAGCATGCCTGGTACAATCATTCAAGTTAATCGAATCAAGATAATCTGGGCAGTGTGCCTTTAAATTCTCAAGAACCAGATTAGGGACCTGATCCCTTGGTGTTCCCTTGACAGAAGTATAAGTCAACTATACAGCTGGAAAGCAACTGCAGAAAGTGACTGCCTGCAACTGTACACGCGACAGTGCAGCAGTCACTTCCCATTGGGAAGAGGCATGTACTAACCAAGAATTGACATCAGCATTGTGAATTGACATCACCATGGTGATGTCTTTTGTAGTATAACAACCTGGTGCAAGGCATAAGACAATTGACCCAACACTTGCAAAATTAAAAAAAGATATTCTCTCAAGTGCTTGCCACAACCTCTCTCAAGAACAAAGCTGCTGCAACGTCAAGGACCGGATCCAAGATTGAAGATATCTTAAGTCCTTAGGTTTGTCGAGTCTTTGTTATTTGTTCTTCATTTGTACTCCTATCTTGCTTTCTTAGAAGCTGTGTTTTAGAAAATCCAAAATCACAAACCCTCTAAGTTTGTGTTATGACTAGAGTTAGTCATAAGTTAAAGTCTTTGTAACTAGAGAGCGACAAAATGGCTTGTGGTAAGAGTATCACATGTTAGTTAAAAGAATGACACAAGCAAACGTTAAAATCATTAGTCATTTCTGTAAAAGAATGACACAAGCAAACGTTAAAATCACGTAGATTTTAATCTCTAACAGAGTAGAAAAGCACAAAGGTTTTAATCTTCAGAACAGTGAATATAACACAAATACAGAAAATATGTTAAATTTCTTAAGCTTGTTAGTAAACTATATTCGTAAATTAATTCTAGAAAAGATAGAATAATATATAAACCGGAAATATAAACCAAATAAAAGTTAATCCGAGCCCACTGAATTCACAGTGTTTCCTTAAGGAATTTAATCCCCTCCTATTACCCAAGGTTATGAATTATTTCCTCCCAGGATAGAACGAATTACACACTGGTGTAGTGGTACTTCGGACCCCAGTGTTTCAGCGAACACAAAGTTCGGTAGCAAATCATACTTACTGTTGCTTTCTTTGAAGTTAAAAGTATGCAGAAGAAAGGAGGAGAACTCAGAAAATCGTATGAAAATTCTGAGAGAATGGACTTGTATTTATAGCCAATGTTGGGCTGAACGAGCTGAGCGAGCGACCACGACGGCGCGAAGCTTGCCTACTTCTCAACTCTTTAAGAGCTAGAAGAAGAGCAATTGCTTATATACCCATCAAAAACCTCTTCCTCTTCCAATATGAGATAATGTCCCTTTGTCAAGGGGGAAAACTTAAAATTTCACTTAAAAATTTCATTTCCTTCTATTTCCCATTCACCGTCTTTTAAGCCATATTAATACTTAAAATCCAACAAACCCCCCTTCAAATGACTGAATTTAAATGTTTGATCTCCTAAAAGCTACTGTACTACCCTATTTATTTCATGAAAAAAGATAGGGTCCAGAACTTCGTTGAGACCAGATTAATTTCCAGGTCATTCCATATCATACTACAATCTCATTAGACCTTTTCTCATCCATAAACTATAGTATAGCTTAGATAAGATGATAAGCCAACGTGTCATTAATCCAACCATCTCCATTCATCACTCCCCTTTACACCAAAACTACAACAATATCTCTTTCATCAACTTTCCTTCTCCAACAACAACAAAACCATGGCTTCTCCAACCCTAATAACCCCATCCACCTCCACCCAAAAACCCCTTACCCCTATCCGATCAAAACTCTCCTCTACCACCACCGCCGCCAATGCCGCAACCGTCTCAGCCTCTGTCTCATCCACCCGCCGCCGTGAATTCCTCTCTCTGGCTGCCGGAATCCTCGCTCCGGCATTGCTTCTACCTGCCACGTCAGCATTCGCTGCTTCCGACGAGGAGTACGTGAGGGAAGCTTCGGAAGTGATTAAGAAAGTGAGGTCGACGCTCTCTATGGAGAAAAGTGATCCGAACTTAGCTGATTCTGTTACTGAGTTGAGAGAGGCTTCTAATTATTGGGTTGCTAAGTACAGAAGAGAGAAGGCTTTATTGGGCCGGGCCTCATTCCGTGACATTTACTCAGCCCTGAATGCTGTTTCGGGCCATTATGTTAGCTTTGGGCCGACCACACCCATTCCGGCTAAGAGAAAGCAGAGAATCTTGGAAGAGATGGACACTGCTGAGAAGGCATTACAGAAGGGAAGATGAAAGAGAAGCTACTTTTGTAGATGTTTGGTGATTTTTTTGGGTATAATTCTGAAATTTCTATATTTAAATTTCTGACTATGAAATTGAAAGTATAAAGATGAGGATTCACTATTTGCTTGCAAGTTATGTTGCTTGTTACTATAAAACTAAGTAAAAGGTTAGTCGTAATTTAGATAAACTCTTCTTATTTCTCTTTTCTATTTATTATTGCTAAGAGATCAATTGTATTCAATTGGTGTTTAGTCGAGTCGATTTGAGCTGAATTATGAGAAATTCAAACTTGACTCGAATGCTAGACGAACATCAAACCTATTCCGAGTTAAACGTGAAAATAGCATGGGCTAGCTATTTTTTGACTCCTAATCGGGAAATAGATAGTGTTTGTAAAGTCATTAAAAAATAGTCAGCGTTTAGCTGATACGGAAAATTCCAACATAATTTGCAGGATTATGAAGTTCCTACGTGTAAACTTCCAGCATATTATGTTGGAACTCCAGCAAATTATGTTGGAATCTCACATGTAAAAATTCGAACTTCAACATATTATGCTGGAATATTTTCGGATTTTAAGGGTGTTTTTGTTCAGATTTTACTTTTACATAAAAAAGTTGCTAAATTTCAATTAGGTTGAAACTGTAGCTATTTTTCAATTACCAGTTATAAATCTGGCTATTTTTTTTTTTTTTCGAGTTAAACTTGTACAAAAATAACTGTAATAGAATTACAAGTTTGACTTTATGCTTATAATCTAGATTGCATAGTTGCATTGTATTATTAATATCTTGTAAAAAGAATATATAAAACAGGACTATAATCATCTTGTAATCGACTACATAATCGACAAAGGGTAGTATTAATATTTTATTTTTGTAGCAAACTACCAATAGCTACTCTATTTGATCGTCTAAACTTATTTGTCACAACTTGTTTAGAAAGAGTCTATTGGACATACGTTTAGATGTAAACCGAGCATAAATTAATAGTTACACTTTTGGGAAATGAATGAAAGGTGTTGTAGTTTTTCTTTTTTCTCATATCAAAACGATAAGAAAATAAATTTGAAGATTGAAGTGAAAGATATCTTCAATTGACTTTCAGGAAACGAATCTGACAACCATTTTGAGATACAGGAAGTGAAAAAAAATGTAGTAATTTGAATCTAAAAGATATAGGGTATGTTTGGTAGGACGGAAAATATTTTCATGGAAAATGAATGGTTTTATCATTTATTTTTCCTTGTTTGGTTGGTGAGTGAAAAATATTTTCCGAAAATATTATCTAATTTATGGTTAGAGAGTAGGTTATATTTTTTTATGCTACTCACCTTATCCCCCATTTCCCCAAGTCCCTATATTTTCTTGCTCCCCCCCTACCCCCCCCCCCCCTCTCCCCCTCCCCCCCCCAAATACCCGACGTTTTCAGGACTTTATTTTCT